TACACAACGAATTGCGAGGTATATCTTTGGTGGTGAAGGAAAAGCAGCTACATTTATTGAACATCATGAACAAAGAAATAGTGCTGGGAGAACAAAGGCTCACTGAATGTCATACAGACAAATCAAGCGCTTAGCGCTTAGCAAGAGGAAAAGGGAGTGCATGTGCTTTGGTCTGGAGTTCATTGGAATGCTGTGATGTCTGAGCTCAAGTGGATGGAGGAGAGCAAATTTCTTGGGATGCCACCCAGGCTCACTAGGTTGAGTTTTAGGGGTCACAAGGAGTGGTCTTCAGTTTTTGTCTACCTTAATTTTTTGGGGCTAGTTTCTCTGCCCATGAGAAAAATTCAAAACAGTACAAAGGAAAGGTTTTTTGCAGAAGTGATAGAAAGCCACTCTTGAAGATTGGGAGAGCCAGAACTGGGTAGTTATATATTTTTATTTTAATAGAATAAACAAAAACAATAAAAATGATACAGAATTTCAAAACAAGATGATAGGAAATTAACAATGGGTATTATATTGCATGTTATTATCTTCAAACTAGTTACTCAGTTTACCAGATATAGGCAGACAAAATCAATCAAACAATATAAGCACTAATTGTTCCTTTCAACAAACTAATAGAATTAGTAGTTCAATTATCTTAGGTACCTTGTATGCATATATATTTGTTCCTTCCTTATTTTATCTTTTCCCATTCTTATACACAAATAAGGGACTTACTGAGAACAAATTAGAAAATAGTACTATTCACAGTAGCATCAAGAAAAAGTAAATACTTAAGAATTCCTCTAATCAAAGAACTGAAAGATTTCTTCAGTGAAAACTATATCAGTCTGGAAAAGGATATTAAAGAATGTATCAGAAAAATGAAAAATATCCTATGTTTTGAAGAGACAGAGAAAGGAGAATTAAAAGCACTATATGTTCAAAACTGATGTTTAGATTCAACACAATTACAACAAAAGTATAAATGGTATTCATCACAGATTAAGAGAAAACAGTCCTAAACTTACCATGAAAATGGAAGATTCTGAGAGTAGTAAAAACAATTCTGAGTAACAGAAGGCATGGCCATCCTAAAATAAAGTTATATTATAAAGTTATAATAATGAAAACAATATGATACTGCCACAAAATCAGAGATGAGGAATGGAATAAAGGTTGGAGAAACCATTCCAGACTGTTGAGCTACATGATCTTTGAAAAAGGATGAAAGGCATAATCTGTAGGAAAGATGAACTTTTCAATAAGTTGTTCAGGGAAAATTGCACATCCATTTATAGAAGAATGAGTCTAGACTCATATATCTCAGCATGTACTAAACTAAAATCAAAATGGATCAAAGAGCTAAAGGCTTAAACAGATCCACTTAAAATAGAAATATTTAATACAAAGGAAGATTTTAGGTACAACTTCTAAAGACATAGGTGCAAGCAAGGACTTTCTGAATAGAAGCCCAGTGTGTGAAGAGTATAATAACAAAAATTAACAAATGTTATTGTATCAAATTTTAAATCTTCATATCAAAGGAAATAAGTGACAGAGTAAAAGGACAATGTACAAAATGGGAAATTTGTTTTGCTAGCTATTTCTCACAAAGAGGACTAATACCAAAAACATATAAAGAACTAAAAAAATAGACCCTTTGGGATAAAAGATCCAATTAAAAAGGGGCAACGAAATGAACAGACATTTAGAAGAATAAGTAGGGATGGAGAATAAATACATGAAAAAATATGCAAGACAGCTGCTCACGGGAGAAATGCAAATGAAAACTGTCTTAGTTACTTTTTACTCAGAGAGAGAGAGAGAGAGAGAGAGAGAGAGAGAGAGAGAGAGAGTGAGACAGAGAGAGAGACAGAGAGAGAGAGAGACAGAGAATTCCAGTAACATTGCTATATATTAAATGAACTTCTTTTAATCTTATTGAAAGTTCATAGAAAATGTTACAATAGAATTGGTAGCTATTGCTCCAAAATAAGACTCACACAGAAGATATATTCTCAAAAATGTAAGCAAAATTCTTCATTTATAATATGCTGTATTATGCAAAATCTTTAAATATGATGTTTCAGAAGTTGGCACATTTCTACAATTAATATTTTGTAACATAAAAGTCCTTTCCACTACTTTAATTAAATATGGCCATAGAATCTTAATTTGCTATCATTGCTGTCAGTCATCATTCCAAATAAAATGTTATGAAGTATAATAGTCTACAGGACTTCATTTTTTTTTTTGTCTTTTTCCTTTTTATCGGTACCGGGTATCAAATTCACAACTGCCTGCTTGAAAGGCAGGCGCTTATGCCGCTGAGCTAAATCCCCAGCCCCAGGACTTCATTTTTGAAATATATTTTCTGCTAAATTCCTAATCGACATGTCCAAATAGAGAAAAAGAAGATTTTCATATTGTTATCTAATCAGAGAATAAAGCATCATTGAAACATTTAGAATGGTCTTCAATACCTCTTGATATTATAAAGTTTTTCCTCATTGACTACACATGATTCTCTAATTGATCTGAAATCAACAACAATGCTGACTCACACATTGTGGAGAAGAATTCAATCTCTTTGTGCCTGAATAAGTTTTTTAGATGACTCTAATGTCCACTGATCTTTGAGATCCAGGGTCTTATAGGACTCCTAAAAAATAAAAATCCAGTGCACAGGGATTTTGACACATGCCTAATTCCTGCAGTCAATAGCATCTTGCCAAATCCAGGTTTTGAGAAAAGTTATATTAGTTTGATGTGAGCTTGATTCTACTTAACCTTAAATATGTTTTCCTATCATCTGGGTAATTTTTTTCATAATCTTCAGGAAAAAAGATTTTTAAGTATTGATAAAAATATATACATATAAAGATAAGAATTATGAATTTCTTTATATAGTCAAGTTAAAAACTGAATACCCCATTAAAATTAATTAGTTGTAATTCATCAGCAATTCCACTAGATGATTCTAATCCATATCAGCAGTGTTCTGTAAAATATTTCATACTTCCTGACTGAATACCAATTAAGTAATACGTTGGGTTTTCATAACTTATTTCATGGAAAAAGAAAAATTTTGAAAATATTGTCAAAAATAAGTAATTGACATTCTCACATCTCATATTTAAGAAAATGGCAGATGTAAAAAAATAAACATAAAAGAGCCAAGAACTGGGGCACAGATAGGGTAGTGACTTTGGCAAAGTCATGAGACTCATAAATTAGTGAGTGTTAACTGTAGGAAAAAACAGAAGAGGAATCCACAGAAATGATTTGTGGGAGGAGGCTGCAGAGAAAATCCGGGTTTGCAGCAGTCATCAGCTCCTGTTTCACATCCACTTGGTTCACGTTCACGTTCACATTCTAAGATTTGGCATGTTACAGACCCACTAAACACTCAGCTTAATAAATATCCGTATAGTCAAGGAAAATCCAATTATAGTATTATAGTTTTGTTATCTGGGGAGAACTTTTGACAACAGCTGCATGGGATACTGAGGTGACAAGCCTTTAGTACAAAAATTTACCCGAGTTAGTGAAGTGTATCCAGAAAGTTAATAGTAACTCCATTTGGCTATAACATATATTTGATTATAAGAGTTATGAAAGAAATAACTACAAGTTAAATCAAGATTTTATTTTTAAGAGACACAAATAATGAAACCATGTGCAAAAGCAAGATGAAGTTTATTTGTACATGTGCAGTTTTGTATATTTATGTATACCCATGTATATCTATTGTAAATCATATGATCTGATAAACAAATAGAATTATGTCGATTTATATACATATATCATAAAACCATATAAGCCAGGAGAAATAGCAATCAACTAAAATATTTTAAAGTTGTTTATGATTAAATCTCTTACCTGTATATGAAGTATCATTTGATAGCAAATTTGGGGAAGGCAGAGTGTCACCAAGATGAAAGGTAAAATAACTTTAAGTTTAGAAACATTAAGATGAGTAATCTTAGGATGAGGGACTCAGAGGAATCACTGGAAAAATGTATGTAATGCCACTGTTGAGAGGTATATTTCAAGTTTAAATTACAGACTGATCATACATTTCAATATTTAAGAATATAAAGAGAAAAAATCCAATATTCAGAACTTATCTTTCCTAGACAATCACTATACATTAAGTATTATATCATCTTGCTACTGCTACAACTTTGATATGAATTTAAATTTCCTCAAATATACAAAATATTTCAATAATATTTAAATGGCAATGATTATTGTCACATCTGTAAAGAATAGTAAAAATATTCCTTCTCATCCTTCCATCTTTGCTCTATGTCTATCCTTGTTTAATTATTTACTTTAATCTATAGTCTTTCTGACTTAGTATTTTAGTGATGTAGAAAAGAACCAATACACCTGTCCAGGGTCTGAAATCGCGTCAGTGACAAACTCCCCTTTATTAAAAGAATACTGGTCTAAGAACAGCTAACTGCGTAACCTTTGCCTCAGTGTTTTAAATCTCTTCTAAATCTTTATGATTATATTCAAATTTTGCTCATAATTCTGTGTAATATTATGAATTAAATAGCTCCAAAAGTGAAATTTATCGTGTTCCAAAACAGGTGAAATGAAACACCTTTCAAGTGATCCACATTTTCTTCTCATTCAAACACAAATATATGACTTTAATGCAAAAAAGTGATAAAATTCCCAAATTACATAGCACTATTGCCTTTATAAACTTATCACAATCAAGTCCATTTGAAAAGTGTTACACTGTCATGCACAGTATATTTGTAACAAAAGAACACAAAATGGATGCTATTTTCCCTTATCTTTAGCATTAATTTTTGATACAATATGACATATACTAAGCTTATTTATAAATAAATGATACAAGTGTTTTACAAATCTAATAAAGTACAAAAATTTATCAAACATATAAATATGAATGCAGTTATCTTTGACTACTTAAAACCTCAAATTTACTTTAATATATATTTTACTTAAAAGAGTAGATATTAATATGAGACTTAACCATTTCTCTTCAACAACTTTCTCAGAGAATTTATGACTTGCTTGTTTCTCAGGCTGTAGATAAATGGATTTAACACAGGGATTATGACAGTGTAAAAAAGAGAGAAGATCATATCCTGATCATCTGCTTGTGAGAGTGTTGGGTGCACATACATGAAGAGCAGGGGGCCATAGTATAAAGATACAGACAAGAGGTGGGCTCCACAGGTGGAGAAGGCTTTGTTTGCACCTTTTCCAGATTTCTTTTTCAAAATGGTAAGGAGAACAAATGTATAAGAGACAAGAATAGTCACAATGCTAAATGCTTGTATTGAACCAGAAAAAATGAAAAGCATTAGGTAATTAATAGCAGGATCAGTACAGGATATCTTTGTCAATGGAATGACATCACAATAAAAGTGATTTATGATGTGGGAATCACAGAAAGTTAACCTGAATAAAAAACTTTCATGAATTAAGGCATGAAGAAAGCCACCCACAAATGATAAAACTAATAGCTGTCTGCATAGTCTATTGGTCATAATAACTGGGTAAAGCAAAGGTTTGCATATAGCCACGTAGCGATCATAAGCCATTGCTGCCAAGAGAAAACATTCTGTGGTTGCACTGAGTGCAAAGGAAAAAAATTGTATCATACATTCAGTGAAAGATATCATGCTGTATTTTCCTAATAAATTAACCACTATCTTAGGTGTCACAGTGGATGATAACCAAGTATCTACAAAGGCCAAAGTCCCAAGGAAAAAATACATGGGTATGTGAAGGTGAGGGTCCTTCCTGATGAGAGTAATCAGACCCAGGTTCCCCACCATAGTGATGAGGTATATTGCCAGGAACACCAGGAACAAGGGAGTTTGCCACTTGGGTTGATATAGGAGTCCTGTGAGGGTAAACTCTGATGACCATGTTGCATTTATCATTTTCATGGCTTCACTCAGTGCCCCCTGAAATGTAAATTTCAAAAAAAAAAAAAAACAAATACAAAATTTATAAGGTGAAAATTAGAAGATAAGAATTGTGATAAAATCACTTTTATACAATGGCAAAAATTCACTTTTCAGAGTGTATATTATTCAAGTAGAAGAAAATATTTGACAGAAATACAAAGACAAATACTTGTATTGACTCCACTCCATAAATACGCTCAGAGTAAGATTTAGAGAAAATGAAAGACTAAGTTTGTGATAAATTTGTTGAGAAATATTGAATGTGTTTGAAGATTTTGTGTTCTGGGCATGTTCAGAACCTGAAGCAAAGTTATTTGCATTATGTTTATAAAACGAATTGAAGATCATGTAAAAAAATTTGAAATTTATTTCTCAAGTAGAACACTTATGGTAAGATATTTTAAGGTATTGAATTACTCATACGATAAATTTTTACTTGATTTAAATATTTTGTACTATACAAATGCCAGTAAGGAGGGAACATAAAAGTCAGGTATAGTAATCAGGAAGCTACTGCTATTGTCTAAGACTTATCAAACCATATTAAATATCTCCACCGTCTTGGAGAGTTTATTGTACAAAATATTCATAACCTGAGGGCTTACATGAGAAGTCAATGGTTCAGGAATGAATAATAAATTGTACTTTAAGATGCCTTCCTGATGATGTAAACTTAAGCGCAATATATACTCCATATATTATGTGGTATTTGTAATAATTAAGAGAAAGGGCAATAATGAGATTAGGTTACAGTTAGACATAGAAAGGTAGACAGTGAAGGAGAGAGATGTCCCTTGGTGACAGTGTAACTGATCAACAAGAATGAAACTGTGAATTTCAGTTTTTTCAGATTCGTGGAGTTTTTAATTAAATGTATTGCTCTACTAGATGCTAACAGAAGTAATAACATGAGTGTCATTCTAGTGGTTGGAAGCTAATTGTGGGTAACCTGTACCTACTGAAGGTACAGAAGTAAAACAGATGGGAAGAAAAATATTAGGAAAGTTTTACTGAAGAGATTAGACATAATGTGTACACGTGTCATTTAATAGATATGAACTTGTTTTCGTATGCCCCTCCCAACTAAAGTGAGGGCACTTTATCTGGATTGACTCAACCCAACCCATATATATGTGATGTGTAATATGGAGAAATGTACAGAGACAAAAGAGAAAAGCTATCCAAAACAATAAAAACAAGACTCTTGCAAATACAACCTGTTGTGTCCACAGCAACTGTATCAGTGGTGTGATTTGTGACACTAAGCCAACAGCAGTGATAGCAATCTTTATTAAGACAGTGTTGAATGATAGTTTGACTGCTCATTGAGGTCTTGTTTTCTTATCTTCTTGCTCTTTTTTAAATGATAACTCTAATCTTTCTAGCAGTTTTCACGTTGAGCAAATTTGCCTTTAAGAAACTCAGGACTTATTGGTAGCCAGAGCATTGGACAGAACAACAACAAAAAAAAGCCAACAGACATGATGAAATATAATGAGCAGAGTGATCCCCTTAAACGGAAAAACAAAAGGCAGAGTTTTGTGTACATAGAGGAAAAGACTCAACTAACCAATAAAGTAAAGAATAGTACTCAATCTGAAACAAATGTTCTAGTAGGAGAAGGAATTAATAAATGTATTTGATTGTGGAACTGAAGAAAATTTTAGTGTCTTCATTAACAGCAGTTTCTGTTATGAATAAAATCAAGGAAAGATAACAATTGAACATATATTGGAAACCAAAAGCATAATATTAAGGAGAATGAAAGAAGATACTCCAAGACAGAGTATTGCTAATTTGTATTGCTTCTAATCAATTTGAATTCATATTTCCTGCACAGCATTTTTATAAATGTTTTAATAAGACAGAAATGAGTAGAGAAAGAAACGGGAGAGAAGAAATAGGAAGTGAACTTGGGACTGATAAAAGAAACAAAAAAGGAAAAAAAGAATACATGAATGTAGGTAGATATGCATAAAAACTCAGGAATGGCAATGTATTTTCTGTGCTGTAGCAAAGCTCATCTTCTCAAAAGGGTTTCTGCTTGAATGATAGTCTTCTGTTGTCCTTGTCTAGATAATAGATCCAGTGATATTTATCAGTTTCCATTTCAGAGTACACTAGTATTTCCCTTCAAAACCTAATAATCAAATACAGAATGTGCTTTCTTCAGTAAAAAAATAATAATAACATACTGTCAAAGACAGGAACTTTATCAGTATCAATAAATAACACCAAAAATCCCATATTGAATGTATTTTTAATTGGAGTGGAATTTAACATGAAATGTCAAAACACTACATCTTTGAAAATGATCACATTCAACTTGTATGGGCACTAATTAATGCATAAATTCTGGAAGGAGCATTGAAAGATCATTTTTGTCATATTTTAATAGTAAACAGATTAACGCAAAAGGGTTAGAAGTGGGATGTGACTTAAATTACACCTTACAATACTAAAAGGAAGGCATCATACTTAAGTTAAACCTTAAAATACTAAAAGACAGTTACTGTATTTAAATTACACCTTAAAATAATAAATCAGAACTATTTTGATGAATGGGATGTTTACCTGTATCATAAATACTGACCAGTATCATAAATATTTCCCATGTAAGAATCACTATGACAGGAATATTAAACATAGGTTTAAATTGCTTAAAGTTCAGTGTCATCATATAGAGTCATTAAAGCAGCAAATTAGGTTCACATCATTACTTATTATCTATAATTTACAACAAAAATAAAATATGAGCACAATGCACTAGCTCCCATTTTTTATCTGACTCTTTTGGTATCTTGTACACTCTAAATTGTTAAAAAAAAACATTTTTAGCTTTTGTAAAATGCTTTTGAAATAAAAAATTATTTTTGACTTACACATACATTAATAGCGATTGTGGTTATCTGTGAAAAGTATCAGTCTTCATAAAGCAGAAAATCATATAATAGTATGATATCAGTGGTAACAAAGAATTACATACACATTGATTAATTTTGGAGTTTTAAATACCACTGTTAGGAAAATGTTGTTTATATAAATTTGCTTTGACTACAAGTGCCAACCAGTTGTGTGCCTGTGTGCTTTTTCCAAAAGTGGAAGGCGGGCAGAACTGAAACTCTCCTAAGAGTACCAGAGCATTCCCAGAAGCACAAAGAAAAGCTATTCTACTGGGCACTGTGAATGTGGACTTGAACAAGAAGTCTAGTTTGTCCCCAGGCTTTAAAGATTTCTGGAATCATAAGCATCAATTCAGTATAGATGTTTCCATTTTAACAACTAAAATTGCATTTTCATTCAATATTATCCATCAAGGGGATCATTGTGGATTAATTAAATAAATAAGCTTGTATCTAAAATGCACCTAATCAAAATATAATTATTAAACCTTGCAAAAACTGACCCAAAGTATAGCTGTGTTCCTCGTGAAAACTCTATCTCAAACTGATAAATATTTACCTCCTCCACTTTAAGATAAAAATTTATGAGAAATACTACTAGTCCAATGGTAGAAGTAGCTAAAAAAGCAAAGAAAAGTTTTTCAATGAAAATATCGATATAGATGGCACATATCTGCTTCTGAAACACAAACATCCAGGAATGACCTAGAATTCTTGTTAAAATGTAGGTTTGTTTCAGGTGCTCTGGACTGAAGTTCTGGATTCTTACTTTGTAAATAGGTGATACCTGTGGACCCACCACCTGTAGGTCCTCATCGCTGAAGAATCCAGATTACAATAAAGCCTTAATACTTAGAGGAACCAAGATCTTTAAACATGGCTAGCCTGCAAAGGGAACATGTGCAAGATGCCCAGTGGTGACATAGAGAAATAGCATTTAAGAGATCACAAAAAATGTGAAAGTGTAGGCCACCACTTTTTGTGTTTCCTCAGGTAAATGAAAAAAATTAAGGAATTTTGAATATTGTAGCAATGTGCTCAAATTTCCTTTTCAATGCAAACCAAAAGACTTGTGAATAAACATTCATTTAGGAAAATAAAACTCAACATAAACATTATGGCATCTATATTTGATATATGAATATGGATGTATAAGTATCTCTATAGTAAAAGATTTTCATGAAACAAAATTTTAATCACCACTTATCTCACACTTGGAAAGAAGGGAGAAAAATAAAAGGCATACAAGGTGTTATCAAATTATATGATGAATCATGAAACAGACAAACTCTTTATAGTAAAATTACAGGTTGCCATTAATTCCCTTCAAAATATTACCCTTGCTGATGGAAAGACATTTTACTTCTTTCCGAAGTAGTTCTGGAAACCCTCTTTCATGAATGTTTCTATGAGATGTGATCATACATATAGAAATATGGCTAACAAGTATAATCCAATGGTGAGGGAGGTTCATCAAAATATTGCAGTGTGTCCTAATGCATTGTCTCACCACATCTGACACCGTGCAGCTTCTTACTCTTCTTCTTGAAGTGCTTATGAAAGAGAAATGTTTTGAACTGATTCTGGGTATAGAGACAACCATGAAATCACAAATAACAACACCATATTTTATCATTAATCAATTATCCTGCTAATTTGTAGTTTGCTAATGGAAAAGAATTATGTATAAGAAGACATAACGCATAAAAGAAAAGTCACTGTAAAAATTCTGCAAAAATGTGGAATAAGGAACTTGATGTACAGAGATACCTGTTACTATTATTACAACTTTGCTTACATTTTTGATTGCCCTCTTAATTGTTGGAACAACTTTTTCTCAACACATATTGCTGCCTGACTTTGACTGGAAAAGTCCCTCATTGGTGCTTTTAGAATGGGTAGTATTTTCAGTTTTTTTTTTTTTTTTTTTTTGTACTGGGGATTGAACTCATGATCTTGCACTTGCCAGGAAGGCACTTGTCTGCTGATCTAAATCCCTGGCAATTTTAGTCATTTTAATAAGTGAGTTATGAAATATCCTCTCTACAAATTTATGAAAATGATTTCCATTTCATTGATGTGAAACTAGCCTAATATGTTAGTATTCTCTTGTGATATGGGCATATATTACTCTTTAAAATATTTGCTCAGATACTTTTATTATTGGTCTCTGTGCATGGTGCTGAAGATCAAATTGAGGATCTTGTACATGCTAAAGTATCACTTATTTGCTAATGTTGAACCATCACTGCATTACTAGGATGAATCCCACTTGATCATGTTGTATAATCTTGATAATTTGCTGCATTCTATTTGCTTATATTTTAATGAGGATTTTTGCAACTATATTCATTAGAGAGTCTGCATATTTCTCTTTTTGGTTGAATCTTCCTCTGGTTTTGGTATAAAGCTACTATTTGCTTTCAGAAAGGAGTTAGAAAGTAGTGTTTGACTTTCAGTTTCATTAAAGATTTTGAGTAGTATCAGCATTAAAGCTTCTCTAAATTTCTTGTAGAATTAAACTATAAATCCATCAGGAACCAGGATTGTCTTTGTTGGTAAGTTTTAATTACATTTTCTATTTCATTGACATTATAGCATCAAAAAACCCACCAAATACTCAGAACTCAATCTAACAATGAAATAAAGTATCTATATTTTTAAAATTACAGTACTTTAAAAAAGAAGATCAGAGAGGACAAACTGAAAGAAAACCCCCAGTACATGGATAGGAATAACCAGTTTAGTGATAATGGCCATACTTCTGAAATTGTTATACAGATTTACTGCAATACCCACCAAAATACCATTAGCATTCCTCACTGAACTAGAGAAAATATTCTTCAAATCCATGTGGAATCAAAAGAGATATATAATACCAATAGCAATTCTTGGCAACAAAGGTAAGTCAAGGAGCATCACAATCCCTGATTCAAAATTATACTGCAAAACTACTGTGATAAAATCAGCGTGGTATTGACACAAAAAAATCTGACTTGATCAGTGGAAGAGAATGTAGGACACAGACACAATTCCAAACACACTCACAAAGGAGCCAAATATGTTAACTGGATGAAAGATAACCTCTTTAATAAATGATGCTGGAAAAACTGGCTCTTTACAAGACAAAAACTAAAACCATGTTTATCACCATACACTAAACTAAAGTCAAAATTGATCAAAGATCTAAATATTAAAATGAAAACACTGTTGGAAAAGAAAGTAAACAAAATATTTAAGGCATAAATGTAGGAATAAAGGTCAAGAAAAAACCACAAACATCACCAGAAACACCTCAAACAATCAACAACTGGGATCCCTTTTTCCAAAAAGGTTTTGCATATCAAAAGAAACCACGAGCAAAATGAAAAGATGACTCACAGAATGGGAAAAATTTTTGCAATTTGTCCCTCAAGGACTTCTACCCAGAACATATAAAGAATTGAAAAAAAAAATAGATCCCCCAAATCCAAAGATGCAATCAAATAATTGGCATGTGATAAATATACACTTCTTGGATAAAGAAATCCAAGTGGGAAAGAAATGTATAAAAAATATTCAACATCATTGATCATTAGAGAGATGCAAATTAAAATGCTGAGCCTCCATCACACCCCAGAAAGAATGGCTCTCATATTTCAGGGAAGCACCCCTGTTAGACATGTGGTTCATATATGATGGGATTGAATTCAATCTTTCTGTGCTTGCACAAGCTTATTAGGTAATTTTAATGTCCATTAAACTTTGAGACCCAATACCTTAAATTAGAACTGTAAAAATAAAAATCTATATCAGAGAGATTTTTATACATGCCTAATTCACACACTCAGTAAAATTCTGCCAAATCTAGATTTGATTGTTAGATTGTTAGATTGTTTCTTTGCTATGGGCTTTTATTTTTTTATTTAACATTAAATATATTTTCTCAGAGTCTGGGTAATTTATCAACAAAATAGAATAAGAATTTTAATGTGATAATAAAAGTATATGGTATATACATATGTAAAGAAAAGAACTATGAAGCTTTAAAAACATTCAAGTCAAAAATTGAACACAGCAGCCAAATTTTTCTTCTATGTCATCATCATTTTCATGAGATGATTCTAATACAACATCAGCAGTGTTCTATATAATTTATCATACATTTATCCTAAATACAACTAAAAGTACATTGGGTTTTCATAATTCATCCAATGGGTAAAGCAAAATACTGAGTATCTTGCCAAAATAAGGGGTTATTTCCATCATCCTCCATTTAAGAAAAGGGTAGATAATTTTTTTTTAAAAAGCATGAGAGTAAATAAAATGGGGCCACAAAATGTGATTTTGGCAGAGTCATGGGACTCATAAAATAATGAGTTTTAATAGGAGGAAAAAATAAATAAGAGGAATACGTAGAACTAATATATATGAGGAAGCCACAGAAAACAGAAATTCTGAGAAGTCACCAAACTCTTGTTTCATATTCACTGCAGCTACGGTAAGATTGGACAGGTTACACACCTGCCCAAGCACTATAGATTTTTATTCAAGGAAAAGTAAGTTATAGTAATACATTTTGTTTCAGTAGAAGAAATAAATCTCAGTTGATTGTAATGAATTTTGTTTCTGTGTTACAACAAGGAATGAAAAACAAAATTCTAGGTAATTTACAGAAAACTATCAGTATAATGTGGACATTATGCAAGAATAAAAATCAGTGAACTACAGATGTGCAAAAATGTAAGTTCTCTGGGGCAAAAGAATGACAACAATCTTATGGAGTACTGAGCTGACAAACTTGTAAGAGCAAAAAATTTACCTGAGTTAGTGAAGTATGTCTAGAAAGCAAACAGCAACTCAATTTGGCTGTTACACACACATCATTATAAGAACCATGGAAGAAATAATTATATGTTATATCATAATTTTATTTTTAAGAGTCATGAATAGTGGAACCATAAACAAAAGGCAGGGTGAAGTGTATATATATATATATATATATATATATATATATATTGTATAATTGTTTAAGCATGTGCACATCTATATGCAAATCATACAATCTGGACATAGTGATTATCAAATAAAATTATGTTGATATAAACACATACACCATAAAAGCATCTAAACCAATAGCAATGATAATTGACTGAAAGATTTTAAAGTGGGATATGATTTAATACGTGACCTGTGTATGATGTATCATTTGATAGCAAAGTTTGGGAAGGCAAAACTGTTAGCAGGATGGAAGGTAAAATAATTAGAATTTTGCAAAGATAAAGATGAGTCCTCTTTGGATGAGGGACTTGGTGTTATCATTAGAAAAATTCAGTGAATGCCATTGAGAGGTAAATAGTAAATATATTTACCTACAAATTGATCACACATTATAATATTTAAGAATCTGAAGAGAAAATGTTCAGCATTTGTCTTCTCCAGCCAATTACTAAACACTAAATATTATATCATCTTATCTCTGCTTAAGCTTTGAAAATATGAAACAAAATTCCCTCATATGTACAAAATACCTCAATAACCTTTAAATAGAAAATATTATTTTAACATTTGTAAAGAAGATTAAAAACATTTCCTTTCCATCCTGCCACTTTTTTCTAGGTCCACCCTTAATTATTTAATTTGATCTGTTGTATTTATGAGTTAGTGAGACTTTTTACTTTATCCAGAAAAGAACTACTACACCTGTAAAGGGCCCCAAAATGATTCAGCAACACAAGCAGGAGACATTCCTGCTCCTTTTACTCATGAATTCTGACGTAAGAAGAGCTTATTGCTTGGCCTTCATTCTGTTTTAACTCCTTTTTCATTTTCATGATTTCATTCCATTTTATATATTTCTACTTGATATTTTGAGTTAAAAGGCTCCAAATAGTGAAACTTACTGCTTTTCAAAGCAAGTGGAATGAAAGATCTTTTGCATGATTTTCAATATTCCTGTATTTTCTTTCAGTCAAGCATAAATCTGACTCCACAATCCAGTGAATGTGGCACACGTCCCAAGCCACACCGCAGTAATGCATTTTCAAAACTCACCACCAGTTCTTTTGAAAAGCATTTCGGTTTATTGTTCAATGTATTTACAATGTAAAAACACAGCAGGTATATTATTTTTACTTGTTTTCAGCATTAATTTGTGTATGACATGAAAATACATTAAATTTATTTATGCTTATGAGTGAAAGATATACATTTTTAAGAAGGTAGGGTATAAACACATACTGTATTAACATTTTAGAACTACAATTTCAAAAATATTTGAACTATGATGAAATCCATTCACATATTCTTCCAAATGTTACGTTTAATTAAAAGAGAAAAGACATTATTATGAGACCTAACCAACTGTTTTCAACATTTTTGTCATTGATTTTGTGACTTGCTTGTTTCTCAAACTGTAGATAAAAGGATTTAACACAGGGATTATTACAGTATAGAACAGAGAAAAGACCATATCCCTATCCTCTATTTGTGAAGATGTAGGATGAACATACATGAAGAGAAGAGGGCCATAGTATAAAGACACAGACAGGAGATGGGCTCCACAGGTGGAAAAGGCTTTGCTTACACCCTTTTCAGACTTTTTTAGTAAAATAGTAAAGATAACAAATGTATAAGAAAGAAAAATTGTCATGATGCTGAATACTTGTATTGAACCAGAGAAAATAAAAAGCATTAGATAATTAATGGCAGGATCAGTACAGGAAATCTTTGTCAATGGAATGACATCACAATAAAAATGATGTATAATGTTGGAGTTGCAGAAGCTTAATCTGAATAAAAAACTTTCATGAATTAAGGCATGAAGAAAACCACTCACCAATGATAAAACTAATAGTTGGATGCATAGTCTATTGGTCATAATCCCTGGATAAAGTAAAGGTTTGCATATAGCCACATAACGATCATAAGCCATTGCTGCCAACAGAAAACATTCTATGGTTACACTGGCTGCAACAGAGAAAAATTGTGTTATGCATTCAATGAAAGTTATTATCTTATATTTCTGCAATAAATTAACCAGCATGTTTGGTGTTACTGTGGATGATAACCAAGCATCTACAAAGGCTAAATTCCCAAGGAAAAAATACATGGGTGTGTGAAGATGAGGGTCCTTCCTGATGATAGTAATCAGACCCAGATTCCCTACCATAGTGATGAGGTATATCGCCAAAAACACCAGGAACAGGGGGATTTTCCACTCTGGTTGACACAGGAGTCCTGTGAGAACAAATTCTGTCAGCAGTGTTGCATTTTTCCTTGCCATTTCCTCACTGACACCTTCTGAAATGGAAAGCAGTGGATATGAAAATGAGATTCATAAGTATTATAAGAAAATTAGATGATATGAGTTAAAAAATCACTCACATTTATATAATTCACTTGTTAGAATACATACTGCTGTAACAGAAGAAAATAACATTGAGTAATTAAAAGGGCAGAAACTACAATTAATTCATTTCAACATATGTTCTAAAAGTGAGAAATTACATGAAATGATTTTGAATAATTTATTGGCAGCTATTGGATGTTGTTAGAAATGCTGCCCTAGATAGAAACAAGTTCTACAACAAATCTGTTCAAATGGCCAAGAATATAAATAGAATCTAATGATTTGTGAAAGAATTTCAATTCTATTTCTCAAGTAGCAGGCTTACAATAAGATATTCTTACTATATGATAAACTAGTCTTTAAGTTAAATGCTAGGTAATGTACACAATGCCTGGAAGGAGGGAATAGCTAAGCCAAGGGTAGTAATTGGGAAGCTGTTCCCACAATCTAGTGTCTGCAAAAGTATATTCAGTATCTCCACTGTATAGGGAAGCTTATTGTGAGAAACATAGATGATGGCAGTACTTGAGAAATAGCAGTTCAAGAATGAGATGAGAATTTGTATTTTTATATATTTTATTCTGATGATGCAAGTATAAGTATGGTGCCAATTCAATATATATTTTGACACTTTTTAAAAATAGGAAAATGAAGAATATCTAAGATTCTAATACATTTTAGGTATTAAAGGGTGATCAATGAAGAAGTGGTGATTAAGCAGAATACTGCATAGGTGATAATCAACAATGAAAGTGAGAAGATATTAGAAATTTGTAGAGGAAGAATTTCTTCAGATAGGTGAGATGTAGCTAATTGTGTAAAGCTACTCACTAACAGAAGTGTTATTAGTGTAGTTGCAAGCACAGATATATCACCTGTCAGTATGGACACACCAAAGAGGTGAGAGAAGAAAAAATACTGAGAGAGTTGTTCTAAAGAGATTATGATGCAAACAGACGTCATTTGTTAGGTGGTCACACATGAAATCCTTTCTAACACATGAATCTTTTTGGTTGGTAGTGGCTAACACACACTTAAGAAATTGAAGGAGGTAAGGAATTGTTTTTACTTCTTAATCAAGGGGCACTTAATCTAGATTAACCCAAACACATGCACAGAAATTGTAATGTGAGCATGTAGAGAAAGTACAGAGGTAATAGAGAAAGGTCAACCAAAGCAATAAGATTAAGATTCCGGAAAATGCAACCTGTGTCCATAGCAATACCATTGCTGGTGTAAGTTGTGTCATCTAAGGTCAACATCACTGATAGCAATCTTTACGAATATGGTGTTGGGTCATAACCTGCCTGTTCATTTGATGCCTTCTTTTCTTATCCTTCTGACCATCTCTTAAGATGATTCTTCTAAATTCTCTAGCATTTTTTTTTCAGAAAATTTCCATTTAAGAAAATCATTTATTACTGGAACCTAGGTCACTGAATTGAACATGAGGCAAAAGAAAGATTATAAAAAATAATAATCAGACTGTTATGAAAAGCAAAGGGGAAAATGAAAAGCAGAGGTTTGTGAATGTGAGGAGAAGGAAGACGTTCAAGAATAACACATTATAGTACCAAATACAAAAATAAATGTTCTACTATGGTGTGGTTTTTGATTGTAGAAATTCAGAAAAATTTAATGAGTTGGTTGAAAGCAATTTTATCAGGTAATAGAATTAAGATCACATAATAATTGAAAGCACATTGGAAATAAATAACAGTGATAAAGAGAATGAGAGTGGACTCCAAGTGACTGGAGAACAGCTGGTTCTTTCATGTTGTGTAACCTATATTTCCTATATTCAAACATAACCTATATTTCCAGTGGAGCATTTTAATAAAAAAGTTAAAACCGAGAATCCAGGAAAAAAAAGAGCACTATGGCAGAAGCAGTAGAAAGGAAAATTGAGGTGGATGAAAGAAAACAACAGAATATTAGAGAAACTAATACACAATAACAATATATGTATATTAGAATAGAAATTCAAACACAAAGAGAGGACATTCCAAAGAAATATTGAGCTGTGATAAATGGAAACTTCAGAGGTTCAAATACTATGTTTTATTTAATCCTGCAATTTATTAAAAATAGTCTATGTGTTGAACAAGTGCTTCTAAGATAACAATATGCAATATATCTGCTAGTGTTAATTTCCTTTTAAAATTGTGTATCTTCTACCTTTTTTTTTTCTTTTTTGCTCGTTAAAACAAAAAGTTGTCTACTAAAAATCTCTATTCTGATACTTTTCAAAGTACAGAATATGTTTCTGCCATGGAATTTAAGTACAAAATAGAGGCTTTGTGTACTTGTCACAGAAATTGTGTTTTTCATAAGTATATTAGCCCTTAGTTATTGTTCTTTCTGCATATAACTTCTCCATTGTCTTTAATTAGGAACATAAAGGAGAACTAATTTTAATCCTTAATAATATTGTATACTAGTAATTTGTCAAGGTAATAGATTTCAGGTACTTTTAACGCCAAATACTAACAAAATATTATAAGAGATGAAGGATGCTATTTTGCCCTTCTATATTTTGGAGTTGACTATGAATAAGTATACCAAAGCATCATGTGGAAAACCTTAAATATATATGATAAATTTTCTTTGTTTTCATATTACGATACTTTAAGTGGACTATTTTTAGGAATCATGTTTTTTTTAAGTTGAACATTGTGTGTGTGTGTGTGTGTGTGTGTTAAACATAAAAAGATAGAGCCAATACGTAAATGACACAATAAAATTGTAAATGAGAATTATGATTAAATATAATAGGTGATTTTATCACTATGGCCAGAAATATTTTATATAAGAATTGTTATAATTTCAAAATTTAAACCTACTTCTAAATTGTTTAAAGCTCTAGATCTCAATAAAAAAATCACTAAAAGGTACAAAACAGCCTCGACATATTATTGCATATTGAAATTTTTTAAAAAGTAAAATGTGAAGATAATGCACTAGTGTTCATTTTTTGTCTTGCTATTTTTATATCTTATATATCGAATCTAAAATGTTACAATCTAAAAATTTTTACCTGGTATCCAAAGAATTTTCAAATAAATATTGTTTTGTCTTACCTGTATATTAAGAGAGATTATGGGGGTCCTTTAAAATATTAGGCTTCATAAAACACAAAAATACAATAGCTAGCAAACAATTGACAGTAACAAAACTGGCACTTCTTTGCATACTGATTCACTTTGGATGTCTCATTTCCACTCTCATCAAAATGCTGTTTATATAAATTTACAGTGGACACAGGAGTCAACCAGGAGGATAGCTGTGTGGTTTTCCCAGAAGTGGAAGGAGTGGAGATTTGAAATTCCCCTTGGAGTACCAGAGAGTTCCCAGTAGAAAAATAAAATCAATCAATAAATAAAGTTATTCTGGGCACTGTGAATGTGGGCACAAATGAGAAATCCAGGCCGTACACAAGTATTACAAAAATAATTCTAAATCATAAACTTTAAGTCATCATACATGTTTTACATTTTAACAACTAAAATTGCACTTACACTCAAAACTTTCCATCAATATGAGAAATCTGTTATGTTTACGTAAACAAGTTTCTATCTAAAATGTACTGTTCTGGAAATTTTAAAAACTGTGATTCTGTCTTAAATAATCAAAAAAAATTGATATTGGTAAGCAAAGCATAGTGGTTCACTACAGGAAATGACCAAGACTACTGTCCTCTGCATGAAAGATGTATTTCAAACCTACATAAATGTGATTTTAAGGGGAAATTTGATGAGGAATTCTATCAGTCAAGAATCAGGTGCAACCAAGCTTGGGAGGCAAAGGGACTGCCTTCACCAACACAACCCCAGCTTGGGACAACATGGTGTAGGGCAAGACCCTATCACTGGGGATGAGACATGGTAGTAAGTGTTTTCACTAGAACTTAGTGTTGGGATGTGGAACCTAACCCCATGCAAATTCAATACTCGCATACCTAGGTCTTCTCATGAATGGAACATCTGGAATAGCTCTAATGTCAAGAGGACATGCAGTCACAGTATACTGGAATTCTAATTGTATTGCCTGTGGCTGATTGCAGCAGTCCTAGGCCATAGTCCCCTTTAGCAATACATACCTCATAGAGGTGTATCCTATCCCATTGTTATTTTGGTCAAGGAATTTCTGAGTCTATTTAACTCAACATTATGATAGCTAGGTATATCCATCATTCTGAATATGATGGGATTTAATTCTCTAGGGCTATACCTGTTTTGTGTGTGTACTACATTTTCTTCATTCATTAATCGATAGATATTTAGATCAATTCTGTATCTTGGCATAAAAATTATTTCTGAGCAACCAATGGCTCAGTGAATAAATCAAGAAGAAAATTTAAGTGTTTCTTGAAATACGAAAATGGCAATACAAATACCAAAATAATGTAGCATAGCAGCAGCAGAAATGGGGAAAATTAATAGAAATGAACAGAGATCTAAATACACAGCCTATCTGTGTGTTCCAACGAATTTGAAAAGCAAAATAAACAAATTCAAAAACAGAAGGAAACAAACAAGATCAGAGCATACTATGCAAATGAAAATATCAGTTAAAGGATCAGTTCTTCAGCTGAATAATACAAATATACAATGTAATGAGACCAAAAAAGAGAAAGACTCTAATAAATAAGATCACAAGAAAAGGAAATATTAAAACTAAAATCAGAGAAATGCAGGATATCATTACCCATGATTAGAGAAAAAAAACTATATGTCAAAAATTCGATAATCTAAACCAAATGGATAAATTAAACTTCTAGACCTATACATCCTTCCAAAATTGAACAGTAAGATAGAGTTCCTAGAGACTAACAACAAGCAACTAGCTTCAATGAGTAATAAAGTCTTTCATCAAAGAAAGCCCAAGGCTATATAACTTCACTTCTGGATTTTACCAAACAATTAAAGAACTAAATA